GAGGAGCGTCCGCTGCGCCGCGCCGCGCCGAGCCGAAGGCGGCGCCCCGCCCCGCGTGACGCTCCGGCCTCGCCGCCCGCCCGCCCCCTATGCAGATCGGCCGGGCCGCCGCCGCCGAAAGCGGAAGCGCCCCGGGGCGCGGTTCGCGGCCGCCCCCCGCCGCGCGGGCACCGTCGGGGCAGCGGCGCCTCCCAAGCCGCGGGTTCGGCCCGGACTGCGGGGGGCGCCGGCTTCCCCTCTGCGCTACGTGCGGCTCAGCGCAGCGCCCACCATGCAAGAAGGCGCCACGGAGCGCTTCCGGCACCCAGTCGCTTTTTTTGGCCATTTCGCTTCTTTCAAAACAAAACAAAACAAAACAAAACAAAACAATGGCCAGTTCAAAAGGGCGAGAACGACTAATGAGACCGGGAAGACCCGATAGATTTAACTTTCATATTGTCAGTTGAGGTAACTGAAACATGCCCAATTCTTTTGTGCTGCTGATACAACGGGGCAGATTTCCTCGTGGGCGGAAAGCGGGGATACTTTCGCCCGAGGCTTTTTGCCAATGGGGCGGCCTAGAAATGTTTCAAATGAATAAATAAATAAAAATACATAAACTGGATGCATTATCTTTCTATCCCACTGCAAAAATTTAGTTTTCAGAGGGTCTACACGACAACACTTAATACTAATAATACACTAACACGATAAAAGAGGAGCAGCAGCGAAACCCACCCCGGGAGAGCAAGCCTGGGCAGCCTCTTGCATGCCGGGAATTGTAACCGACACACCTGGGACGCCTCAGGTGAGGGAGGTTAAGCTAACCTGCGGCCATGGTCGTGGGCGGGAGGGACAAAGGTAATGGGCTGCCTACTCCTGGTGTCAGAAAGCAGCTTACTCTCCTCTGGATGTAAACTATAAACACTAATCCGGTATTATCTTATTAGCCCAGACAGACAGCAGGTGAGGCGCACATCCGGGTAACAAGGTCAGATCACGTGCCAATAACTCGCGGTGCCACGTGACGCCGGCCTCCGCCCTCTCGTTAAGCTTGCCAAGTGTGGCAGCTCTATCCCGTAGACTCTATGGTTTGTCCCGGCGCCTTCCCTCGTCACGTGATAGGACAGGCTTCAGGAAACCGGAAATGGGCGTTCGGCGGCCGCCGGAAGTGCCTTCGTTAGTTGCCGGAAGAGAAGGCCCCGGCTAACGGCGAGAGCCCAAGATGGCGGAGGTGGTGAGTGGGTAGATGAGGAAGTGGGGGGGAGCGACGGACGGGGCCCCTTTGGCGGGTGCCCCCTTTCCTAATCTCTCCCCTTTACAGGAAGAAGTGACCGAGGGGTGTCGCCTCCCCGTGTTGCGCCGTAACCAGGAAAACGAGGACGAGTGGCGTGAGTGAGGGGCGGGGCTTGTGGTGGAGGGGCGGGGCTAGACGTGTTTGTGTTCGAGGTTGGGCGGCTCTCACGCAGGTGGAGGATTCCGCTCATCAGTGGGGCCTGGGGCAAAAGGTGGTGGGCGGAGCTTATGGAGGGGGTGGAGTCCGGCAGACAGGTGGCGGTCTGCGGCGAAGGTCTACACTGGAGGGTTGGCAGGACCATTCATTCATTCACTCATTTAAAGCTTTTCTATTCCTGGGTGCTCTTACAATAAGAGAAAAAACAAAAGCACAACATCACATCTTCTATATAACCCCAATTAAAACAGCAGTTAAAATGGACGAGGACCCGGATGATAAAAGAGGCATAGCAGTGGGAGCAGCCCCCTTACTGTGGTTAGGGTTAGGGTTGGATGAAGTTCTTGATTTATGAGTACTTATCAGTTATTTGGGTGGCTTATAATCAGCCAGTCTGAAAACAATTAAAATCATGTCATCAAGTGCCATCTCAACTGTGATAGCAAAACTTGTAGTATCCTGGAAATAAACATACCAATTTTTTATCTGAAAGACTCAGCCTAGAAGAATTATTTAAAAGGTGCAGATGCACAGGACAGAAGCTCATCAAGCATTCTCTGTCGGTTAGCATGTTTGAATGTTTTGGAGTGTTGTGGATAGCCTGACAAAATGATTGTTGGGGGTGGTGCCTTGCCCCCTTCCCAAACAGTTGTCATGTGGAGGGAATGGCCAGTCACGGAACATTTGTCTCCCAGAAGGCAATCGGGCGAGACGGAATGAAAAGTAACCAGACTGAAAGGGAGGATCGGGCTTGTAGTTTCAAAACTTCTTTCCTTTAAGACCGGATTGGAGGGCAGCACCTTGCAGAATGTCATTTTCTCAGTTAAATAAAATAAAATTTGAAGATGTGTTTAATCTAAACTTTAGAGGCAGAAAGCCTGGTTAGAGAGGTTACCTCTGAGTACATGTCCTGAATTCCTTTCAACAGCGCTGGCTGAAATCCTCAGTGTCAAGGACATCAGTGGCCGAAAGCTTTTCTATGTTCACTACATTGACTGTGAGTACAGGCGTCAATAAAGCCACCATTACAGGGGAGGGGGAAATTCCGAAATGGAAAATGCTTTTCCCAGGTGGGGCTTTAAGAGCAGGGGATTAGTACAGGAAGGAAAGTGACAACAGGTAAAGCTGGGTGCTTCTGCTGAGTGGTGGGGTAGGTTGTCCTGGAGGGCATTGCCTGCAGTATGTGTGTCCAGCTCACTGTGGGACATAGCGAGCTGCCGCATCAGAACCCTGGTCCAACTAGCCAGGTATTGCCTGTGTGGACCGACAGTAGCACTCGGAAGTTTCTGGCAGGATTTTTTGCCAGTTCTACCTGGAGTTTGCAGGTATTTTCTGCAGGCAGCTTCAGTGGCAACCTGCATTCTGGTTAGGCACCCCTAAATGCTCTCACCATGGCAAATTGCCCTCCTAGTTTTGGCAAATGCAGGTAGCTGTCCCCCTCCTGAATTTGGGAGCTGTCAGCATTCTGATCGCCACTGAGAGAGCCAGTGCGGTGTAGCGGTTAAGCACGTGGGGCTGGGATTCAGGTGATCTGGGTTCACGCCCCAGTCGGCCATGGAACCGAGTGACTTTGGGCCAGCCACAGACTCTCAGCCCAACCTACCTCACAGGGTTGCTGTTGTGGAGATAAGATCGAGAGCAGGAGGAGAATGATGCAAGCTACTCTGAGTGTGTTATAGGAAATATTACCCTAATAAGTAAAAATAACCAAGGTCAGGCAGAATGGGTGCTGTCCTGGCCCACGTGGAACCTTTTGTTTCTTTGAGGTGCGCCTGCATCTCTTTAAGAAAACAGGATGGCTGGGCATAGACGGTTGTCCTTCCCCATGCGCAGTGCAAGAGGGTGTGGTGGCAGGAGGCCCTGGTAGATTTCTGTGGTCTTCAGAGCAGGGCTTGGAACGGTTTCCCAGCGTTTTCACCACACGCCATAAAGAGGCGTGTGGGGGAAAAATTATGCCTTGCCTTGACCATGCAGTTAACAAGCGCCTGGACGAATGGGTGACCCACGACCGGCTGGACTTGAAGAAGATCCAGTTCCCCAAAAAGGAGGCCAAGACCCCCACCAAGAATGGGCTGCCCGGATCACGGCCCAGCTCTCCGGAACGTGACGTGGTAGGGGCAACTGTGGGCCTGGGGGAGGGCGGGCACCTCTGGCAGGATGCCGTCCAGTGGCGGCTGTGAGGATGGACCCAGGGAGGCGAGTGGCGTTGCCCGCCTTGGGGCCAGTCTCCCACCCTCCAGGCGATACCGGACCGAGACTTCTGTGTTGCAAGGACGGGGCCTTTGCGAGCGCCGACGTTTCCTCGGCAGCCCCTCACGCCCTGTGCTTCTGCCGCCCAGCCCCGTCGCGTGTGGGGACGGTGGCCCCTGCGCACCCATTCCCCACGTGTTGGTAACGCCCGTCTTCCTCCCTACTCAGAGGAAGACCTTGGATCTGTCTCTGCAGCCAGCTGCACCTCCATCCAGCGGTAAAACTCTGCCCATCCCGGTGCAGATAACACTCCGTTTTAACCTACCTAAGGAGAGGGAGGCCGTCCCCAGCTCGCCCGACCAGCCCCTCTCCTCCAGCTCCTGCGTCCAGCCAAACCATCGCTCGACGGTACGAACCGGCGCTCGGCCGCCCCGGCTCGCTCCTTTTGTGTCTTGTCTACCCAGCCGGCACATGCTCTTGAGGCCGCACCAGCTGGGCGGGGCCGGGCTAGGTCTGGGCCAGCAAAGGGAGGCCTCCGGGGAGAGTCCCAGGGCCACACGGCCTTCCCCTCGAGGGCACCCGCTTCCCCTGCACAAGTCGGATGAGCGCAGCGCCAGGGCCCTGGCAGCACGCACCAAGCAGAAAGACCAGCCAAAGCCTCGCTGTGAGCAGAGCGTGCTTTGCACAAGTGCAGGAAGCGTTTTGTTCTCCATGGTAGGCTGGCGTTCCCAGCACGCAGCTGGAACGACGCTCGTCCGTGTGGTTCAGAATCGGAGGGCCGCGAACGAGCATGGAATCCCTCCAAAGGCAGCCGAAGAGGGATCACTGCTGGCTGGCTGAGTGGAAAGCGCTAGCCATTTAACCTGGCTTTGAACCCTCTGTAACCTCCGCTGCCTCTCGCGAGGAATTCTGGGATCTGTAGGTCCTGGTGTGCCAAGAATTCTTCATGAGAAGCATTTGGGGAATGGAGCTGAACTTCTGCACAAGCTCCTTCGCCAAATCGCGGAAGCCGGGGCCTCCCGAGGTGAGCGCCATGCCATGAGGCAGGCCGGAAACTAGCTGAAGCCATAAATGCTCTGCAGGGCCTTCCCGTGCATCGCTTGAGATTCTTTCTCCGGTGGTCTTGCCGGCCAACGAGGGAGGGGCTCCCGCATTTAGCAGCCCCGCTTCGTTCTTGTCTGCATTCTTGTCCCGCCTTAGGAAGTGCCATCCCGCCCCTGTTTAAATAGCCTCCCACCCAGAGATGAAAGCCGCAGTCAGACCTTCCCTCGCAGAAGGAGGGTTTCCTCCAGGGCAGCCCGGCACAGAAATGCAGGCCCCATCCGGCGCTCGGGGCGCGGGTGCTGTGTAGCGGCGGCCTCCATTCCCACGGGAGGGGGCGGGCGGGCGCCGTGCTTTTTCTTTGCGCAGGGAAACCCCGCCCACGCCCCTGCCCCCACGGCCTGCTCGTGCTTCGGCGGCAGGCGAGGGGCCCCTGCATGGCCAGCCCGCAGCATGGCCCCACGCCACCGTGCCTCCAGCCGCCCCCCTCTTTGCACTGGAGGATCGAAGGCCAGGGGTTCGTCCTGTCCTGTGAGCGGGGCTGGAATGTGGGGGAGGCAGGCGGGAGCAAGGACGTGGCCAGGGAGCCCGAAAAGGACCAGTTCATCTTGGTCTCTTGCAGAAGCGGAAGGTAGAGGTGGTCTCCCCGGCAACCCCCATCCCTACTCCGACCGAGACCACGCAGGCCCTGGTGTTCCCGCAGGTAAGGCGCGGCGTGTGCCCTGTGCGGGCTGCCCTTCTGTCCCAGGAGGGGTCTGAACCCCAGCCTCGCATTCCTCACTGCTGGCTGTGGCTGGTGGGAATTGCAGTCCACCAACATCCAAGGCGCTGCGTATTGCCCGCAGCTGGGTCGGGCAAAGGGAGGGGGGTTTCCTGCTCAGGTCAGGCAGGCTGGCGGCTCAACTGGGGAGATGGCTTTGTTTCTTGGGCATCTCTGTGGGGTGCGCCTTCCCTCACTCCAGAGGGTCTTCCGGAATGCCTTTCCTGCAGAGAGCCAGCTGCGCTCGTGGCCTCAGTTCCCCCAAGCTGGTCAAGGACGGCATGGGAGGCTTGTGCCAGGCCCCTGCTGGGTGGAACGGGGGCCCTCCCCATCCAGCTCCGTTGCAGCCTTGCCTGGTCCACGCGTCGGGTGCGGGAGGGTCCTCCCTTCTTGCCGTGCAGCTCCCTGGGAGACGCTGGGTCTCAGCCGAGCCTGCCTCGCAGGGTTGTTGGGAGGATAACACAGAGAAAGACTGGGCAAGCCGCCTCGAGCATCGCACATGCGAGGAAAAGGCGAGGTCGAAGTGTCTGCACGGGGAGGATGAAGGCCTGACTCCTCCTGGTCTGCTCTCTTGCAGAATGGCTCTGCCCGCCGAGCGGTGGCCGCCCAGCCCGGTCGGAAGAGGAAGTCCAACTGCCTGGGCACGGACGAGGTGAGCGCTGGGGCTCAGGCTGGTGCCCCCCACCTGTGCTCTGGGGGCACCCGTCTGGAGGTAAGGCTGGGCCTCTTCCCCAGTCATCCAGGACAGCCCCCTCCCCCCGGTTCTCGCGAGCAGGACTCCCAAGACAGCTCGGACGGCATCCCCTCGGCCCCCCGCATGACCGGCAGCCTGGTTTCGGACCGGAGCCACGACGACATCATCACGCGCATGAAAAACATCGAGTGCATCGAGCTCGGGCGGCACCGCCTGAAGCCTTGGTATTTCTCGCCGTACCCGCAGGAGCTCACGACTCTGCCTGTCCTCTACCTTTGCGAGTTTTGCCTTAAGTACGTCAAGAGCCTCAAATGTCTGCAGCGGCACCTGGTAGGTACGACCTCCGGCAACTTCCCGGGGGGCCGCACAAGGCCGCGCCTTTCTTCTGCTAGATTGTGCCTTTGGAAGCCTTGCGGGGCAACGCCTGAATTTTGCCAGACTTTCTATATCACGCTCTTCTGGGCGTTTGGTCGAAGCTTGGCTGACCAAGAAGGAACTTGGTGGAACAGCCTCCTGGCCAGTTGCTGTTTTTAACACCCCTTTCTTTAGCACTGATCTTTGTGGAAAGATCTTTTTAGCGGTTTAATGGTTTTCCTATCGGTTGAGAGTGAGTGAGTTGGGCTTTTAAAAAATCATACTTTTCTCCGGGGAGTGAAAAGTAGCGAATTAAAAACAGCAGTAAGAAACAGAAAATAGAAATCAGGAAATGAAAAGCCGCTTGGCTTAGGGAAAAGGTCAACGAAGGGAAACTTGACAGAGGTGCACAAAATGCTGTGCAGTGTGGGGAGAGCGGCGAGGGAGACACTCTCTCCTGCTCGTATAGCACTAGATCCAGGAAGCTGAGATGCCGAGATGCAGCAAAAAGGAAGGCGCCCTTCACACAGCACAAAGTTCGGCTGTGCCATCGATTTTCACAAGGCAGGATGCCCACCGGTTTGCGTGGTTTTAAAAGGGGCTTGGGCAAATTCCCGGAGGACTGGGCAATCTGGGGCCGCTAGTCCTCATGTTCCTCTGCTGTCTCCAGGACTGAAGGCAGTATGCCTGTTTCGGGGGTGCGTGGGTGGGGGGGGCACTGAATTTGCATGCCACTGGTGGGCTCCCTGTGGGTGGCTGGTCAGCCGCTGCATGAACTGAGTGCAGGACGGAGGGGTGCCTGGTCTGAGCCGGCAGGGTGCTGCAGAGGGTCTGAAATGCACCAGTGCAAAAAGCCACTTCACTTCATAACGTGCTACAACATCGAGGAAAGAAATCCACAGCAGTGAACAAATGAGTCGCCAAAGGCCTTTTTAGTGTGGTGCAGCAGTTGAGAGCCTGGGACGGGGACTCAGGCGGCGGGTTTCTAGTCCCCGCTCGACCATGGAGCCAACTTGGGTGACTTTGGGCCAGTCCCAGACGCTCAGCCTAGCCTACCTCACAGGGTTGTTGTGTGGATAAGATCCTTTATCCTTTTCTGGGGGGGGTGTCCATCCCTCCTTCCTCCCTCCTCTCTTGAGCTGGTTGTTTAGGTGGGCGAAGCCTCATCTTATCCCACATGTGTGACTCAAAGACAGGATCTTTCTAAAGCAGGGTCATTACAAGAAGACGCTTCCAGAATAGGTCGCTCAAGGAAGCAAGCCAAGTCATGCACCACAGGGAACCTCTCCAGCCACTTTAACCCACTTTTCTGTGCTGCTGTGAATATTCATGTTAACCGTTCTTATTGCTACGACTTGTACGCTACTCAACACCCTGAGATCTCTGTGTGGTCGACAGTACGAACATCTGTCAAGTACCACGTAAAACCTATGTACAAACAGGGCAAAAGAAGGAAAAACCACGCATGCCTCTTTTTGAGGCAGTGCCGGGAACGCAACCTGTTATTCTCCTTGCCCGCAGACGAAGTGCGATTTGAGGCATCCTCCCGGGAACGAGATCTACCGCAAAGGGACCATCTCCTTCTTTGAGATCGATGGGCGGAAGAACAAGGCAAGAACAGCCGCTGGCCCGGAGCTGGACTGGGCCTTCCAGGACACTCCGTGGGACTGTGTTAGGCTGCTGGCACGAGGAGGGGGAAGCCACGGCAACCGCTGGGCACCGAGTCCCAGCGGCGACTCGCACAGCCACGTGCCAGCCGGCAGCCCCTTTCGCCTGGGGCTGCCTAGCGGGCTGCCACTCTCCAGGCCTTGGCCGGAAGCATCCTTAGCTCTCTCGCTGGATGACGTGCAGTGCATTCCAATGAGTTCTGAGCAGGGTGAGGGGAGACGGCTGGAAGGGGCAGGTTGGCTCGCTGGTTGTACGAGCTGGAACCTCGCAGCTCGAGCACCCAGCCTCCACCCCGAGCAGACTGTTGTGCGGCAGGAATGGACGCCGGGAGGGAAACGGGTCGAGAAGCTGGCCCTTTCAGTTCTTCATCTTCCACGCCATTCTTTCAGCAAAAAGCGCAGCCGTTCCTCCCATTTTTCCCCTCCCATAATTTGGTGGGTTTCCCTCTGACCTGAAGCTGGAACGGGGAGGAGGGGCTCCATTTTGTCCTGCCCAAATTGCAGTGGGTTTGTATGTGTGTGTGTGTGGGGGGGGGTTTTTTGGGGGGGTCCTTAGATTGCCAGACTGTCTTTCCTTAATACTAGAGTATTGGAAGGGGGAGTGTAGGGAAGTGAAACCTACCAGATACCTTCTTCCCCTCCCACTTCCATTTCCTTGTTTTTGTTTTTAAGAGACCTCAAGCAGCACTCAACCCCCTGGGGGTGGCAGCTCTGAGCAGCCCCCATCCCACCCCAATCCCTCCCAGAACTCAGGGAGGAAGGAAGCCGGTTAAGATGTAGGTTTTGCACCTGCTTTTTAGGCCTGGGGCTGCTGCACAGAACTGGGCAGGATTTGTCTTGTCTTCAGAGCTGCAAATACTCCCCACCAAGCCTCTTGCTGCCAGAGGTGGATCCTGGGCTGTGCTCACCGTCCCCGTGTCTCTCTTCCCCGCCCCCTCGCCCCCTTCCACAGAGCTACTCACAGAACCTCTGCCTGCTGGCAAAGTGTTTCCTGGACCACAAGACACTGTACTACGACACGGACCCGTTTCTCTTCTATGTCATGACCGAGTACGACAGCAAAGGTTTCCACATCGTTGGGTACTTCTCCAAGGTGAGGTTTGGAGGCCTCTGCCGGAGTTTTGGGGTGTGGTGGAGGGGGTTAGGGTTCGACATCTTTGCTCCCTCCTCTTGGTCCTCTTTGGGTCTGGACAACGTTCGGAATCCAGCCCTTGGATGGGGATGGGAGTCCGCCTTTCAGTGCACATGCTTTGGGTGGAAGGTTGATTTGGGAGAGAGCAGCAGTTCTAACTGTGAAGTTAACGCATGGCTTGGTTTGCCCCTCCCTGCAGGAAAAGGAATCCACAGAGGACTACAACGTTGCTTGTATTCTTACCCTGCCCCCTTATCAAAGACGTGGCTATGGCAAGTTGCTGATCGAGTTCAGTAAGTGGAACCTCTTGCTGCTTTCCCTAGCCTGACTCTAACCAGGTTTCCCCCTGCATCTTTGGTTCACCTGCTTGGAATCACTGGCTCGCCCTTGGTGACTAAGCACAAGCCTAAATGCCAGACTGTGAAGACGCTTCTGGTAACCCGAACGATTCCCATCTCCCACCAAGCGCCACCGCTTTCTGTCAAGTATTTTTCCTTTCCTCATAACTATGTGCTGTGTGGCTGCTTGCAAGAATGATCCATGAGGGCTCCTGGCCCCGATTTCAGCGTGCTGGGTTCGAGAAGGGGTGGGTGGCGTCTTGGGGGGCTCCCCAGCAGCCCCACTGACGTGGCGCCTCTCGTCTTCCTTCTCGAGGCTACGAGCTCTCCAAGGTAGAAGGGAAGACGGGCACGCCAGAAAAGCCGCTCTCAGACCTGGGGCTCCTCTCCTATCGCAGCTACTGGTCCCAGACCATTCTCGAGATCCTCATGAACCTCAAATCGGAGACCGGGGAGCGCCCGCAGATCACCATCAAGTGAGGGCTAAGTAAAATGTTCTGTGGGGGGTGTCGAATCCTGGGTGAGTCCGAAGGGGCCCGGAGGGCCGTCTGGAGCAACCCCCTGCTCAGCGCAGGACTTCAGAACCAAACATCCCTGAAAAGGGGCTCTCTAATTACTGCTTGGTTGCTTCCAAATTGGGTGGGCGACCATATGGGGACCCGCAGGGCAGTCTCGCGTGCATCGTGAAACGTCCTTCCCTCGCCGGTTGCTGTGATCTTGCCCGCAAAGGGTCAAATGTAGGTGGAGGACAAGTGGCTGTTCGTGGCCACGTGGCACATGGCGTTAGTTCCCGTGGCGTTCAGCGTGGGGGCTTGTGTGCCACCCACCCTGGCCCGAGCTGCGGGAAGGGTGGGTGCAGCTTGCCAGTACGCCTCCGAAGCTTGCTGGGTCCTCCTCTCCCGTGTCCAGTGCAAGCTGGGATGCCAGCGATGGCTTCTCTCTCTGGCACTGCCTTCTCCCTGGTCACGCTCCCCACTTCCCTCCCCGCCGTCCCCTTCCAGTGAGATCAGCGAGATTACAAGCATCAAGAAGGAGGATGTCATCTCCACGCTACAGTACCTCAACCTCATCAACTACTACAAGGTACCCGAACTTGACTGCTGGGCAAAGTATTCTGTCTGGAGGCCCATGGGTGGCTTAGGGTACAATGCTACGCACCTTTCCATAGGAGAAAGGGGAGCTCCCAGCAGGCCCCAGCCAGCTGGAGCTCAGCAGAGGGACAAGCACCTGAAGGCATAAATAGTTTTGTGCCAAGAAGCTTTCTGTCCCCTGCTTTGCACTTTCTGTGCAAACCATGTTTTTAATAGTCCAGAGAGCAAGTGGTAGGCAGGATCCTGCAGAGCTGCTCCTGCTTGTTAACAAATTAAAATTGGGCAGATGGGGGAGGTTGCACAATTAGGAGCTTGCCTGGACTTCAAGATTATGGGTGGAACTGCTGGATCTGAACCACCAACAGGAGACCCAAATCTGATCCCGAGCGCAGGTCCTGGGCTTATCTCAAGAGCCTCCGTCTTCTCAATCTGTAGTTATGAGAACAACGGTCTCGCTCAAGTTTCTGACTCCATCCCCTGCTAGAAGCATGAGATATTTTCAAGCATTTTAAAAACATAATAATCCTGACATTCAAAGCTGAGGAGGTGGCAATCAACACTCCGTTCATTGTGCTTTCCCTGTCAAGAGTTGCTTGAACCACCGAGAGGATTAGAAAACTGGTAGATTAGTTTTGAAAGGAAAAGTGGATTGTGGGCACTTTGCCTTCAGCACTGCATTGAATCATAAACATGGTAAGCACAGTAGGATTCAGAGAGGGCAATGACTTCTGCCATGAGGACTAGAATATTGTTTTCTCTTTGAACCGTTTCCTTTTTAGGGTCAGTACATCTTGACTCTGTCCGAGGACATCGTAGACGGACACGAGCGGGCTATGCTGAAACGAATTCTGCGTATCGACTCCAAGTGTCTGCACTTTACCCCAAAGGACTGGAGCAAAAGGGGGAAGTGGTGAGAGTCCGTCTCTTTGACTGGGGGGTGGGCTTGCGTAGGCCCACCCCCATGACTGGGGATCAGGCAGGCCTTCCCGCCATACCCCCCGAGAGACCTTTTCGGCCAGCCCTCCGTAGCAAGTGCCGTTGGCACGGCACACCTGTCGGGGATTTCGGGGCGCCCACACCCTGGACTGCCTGGCTGCTTGTATACGAGACTTAAGCAGGTATCTGTGGTGAGCCATGGTGTACAGAAGCTGCTGCTCCACCTGCCCTCCCCTTTTGGATATTCCCTGTTGAAACAAACACGCTGCTACTGCCACCAACAAACACACACACACACGCACACACACGTCGGAGCTTGGAGCAACGAGGGTGGGGCTTCCTCACCGCACCGTGATGAAGAAACGCTCACAGCCGCAGCCCAGCCTTCAAAGCGCGCTTCGTTCCGGCAGCCGTGCCCGGGCCAGAAACGCAGATGGGCTGCAACTGAGCTTCCTGCGGTGAACTTCCAAGCCGCTCGCTGCTCACGAGGCAGCTGCCCTCCCGAAGGCTCCCAGTACGTCCGACTGTGTGGAAGCGTCCGTTGTGGCGAAGCCCGTCCGCTTCCCTTACTCGGAGCGGGGTGCATTATTTCGTGGTGGCGAACAGCAAGGCCTTCTCTCAGCCGCCCGGCCAAACGACGGATCTTCGTGCACCGGGGCACCCCTCCGTGCAGGCTCCGAAGGAAAAAAATCCACAACCAGCCGATTTCTGTGATCAGAATAAATTAATGAAGTTTTTTTTAACCAGATTCCTGTGCACATTGTCCTTTCTGTGTATTTTTATTTGGTTTTTCACAAAACAGAATCGGCCTAGGAAATGTAACCAAAAGGAGGGGAAATGTCTGCAGAGTCTGCCCAGGTGTGACCTAAACCTACTTAGGTTTTTTCCTTTTCTTTTGCATTGTAAAAAATGAAACGCAACGTGGCATGCTTCCAAAGAACGGAGATTTCACAGTACAAACTGAAAGCTTGTTACAGCTATTCTTTTGCTATCAGGTGAAGGTTTCTTAAATCTCAGGCAGTCCCCCCATTCTAGCTGTTTTGTGGCGGGGGGGGGGGTAGGACAGCACGACACAGCTGAGTTTTGACATTGTCTTAAGTGTGTTGTTATAAACAGGAACCCAGTAAAACCTCACACTTTTGATCAAGGTCTCCCATGCCTTCAACCAGCTCCAGCACATCCAAAGCCTCTGCAAGATAAAGCCACAGAAATGTCATTACGGAAAAAACAAGGGAAAAAGGGTGCATTGTATAGAGGGCCAAGTTCTGGGGTCCAGTCGCACAGCTGGCTTCAGCCTGGGGCCTTCCAGATGTGCCACTGCAGCGCCACCACGCAGCCCGTGGTCGCTGGCAGCTGCCGCACACAGAAATCCAGCTGTTCGGCCCAAGCACTGCCTCTTGTACAGCTGTGTGCTTTTTGGTGTGTTGCATGCGTCTCTGCTGGTCACTGTTCGTCGGTCACAGGGGCATGGATCTACAAAGAAGCAAGACGAAAACTGTGCCTGGGTCATACGGGTTGGGGAATCTTAGGTCTGAGGCTTAATTTAGCCTTTTGAAGCTCCCCAGGTGGTCAAACCAGCTCCTCTTAGCATCACCTTTTCTGCAAGCCACCAATTATTCCGCCTTCGGGGCAGTTTTCCTATGTTCCAAAAGGCTGAAATGCTTTTTCTGGGGCACGGTTGCCAGTAGTTCAGCTACAAGGTGCTTTAATTTTGGCCTTGCCTGTCCCTGACAGCTTTTTGCAAAAGGAATTTGCCCTTGGAGCTGAAAGTTTCTCCACCTCGCTAAACTCTTACATTTCTCCTTATAGGATGCTCGCTCATGTACGGAAAATAGTTTGCCTGGATGAACCTCCATATCATGGAGAAATGTGTTTCTGGGCAGAGCAAAAGAGCCAAACAGTTAAACTGTGCATAGCTAGAAGCTGGGGCAAGAAAAATAAGAGAGTAAAGCAGGACTTAATGTAAACAGTCCTCCCTTTGATGCCAAGCTTCTAGTCCTTATTGAAAAATCTCTGCACGTGCTCAGCTTTGCCCTGTAGTCTTCTGTGTTCCACAAAAGACTTTCCCTTCCGCTGATTAAGGCCATAAAGAAGCAAAAGAACCCCAATAGCTTAAATGCATCACATGGCAACCTAGATTTTTAAGTGACCATTGCACACATGGGCGGGGGCATTTGGAGACGCTGGAGCAGAAAATCAAGAATGGCAGCAGGCCCTAAAGATCGGCGCTCTAGTCTTTGCCCAGACCACCCTTTTAGTAATGGGTTTTACTACAAAGCTGGCCATGCAGCCAAAAGGTTTGTCTTGAGGTTCAACGGAAACCTGTTCGTTATTTTTTCTGCCACAGACTTAACAGGGTTGCCCCTCTAGAAACTGCTTTTTTACTGTCGCCAATGGCTAGTCTTTGGGACTTCGTGCTTTCAGAACGGGGCCTTTCCCAGCCAAGGAGTGGCTACAGCATAGCCACTCCTTAGTCATGGCTAGGAATCGGAAGACCTATGGGCCAGATCCAGCTCTCTTGGGGTTCCAGCCTGTCTTTCCGGGGTGCCTAAGCCACTGGTGCTTTGACAGTTTCCCAGCTTCCGTGCAGCTCCTTTCCCTCCACTAAAAAGCGGGCATCTCAGCTGGTAGGAAGAGCGTGACTTCGCCACCTGGGAAGTTTCCGGACGCGGATACTCACCCCCTCAGCAATCTTAGGCCAGTCGAAAGCCATGAGTATCTCATCCATGCTGTCAGGGGCTCGTTCCAAATTCCACACCGTCACTGCGTCAAAGCTTGACTTCACCCGCACCTGCCGTTCCTGCAGCGGAATGGGGAGAGAGGGGGCAGTCAGGGGCATTTGGGGGTCAGGCCTCACCCCCCACCTGGCCAGGGAACTCACCTCCAATGGCGAGAGAGCGGAGGCATCCTCTTTTAGTACCAGCCCCACATATCCCTCGGGCAGCTGGACTTCCTTCCCCTTTAGACTTCGCCCACGGAAGGACACGGATAACTCTGCTGAAGGGGGAAGCAGCAGGGCAGAATTTAGGGACTCTCAAATGTTTGCTCAAAGCCGACTTCTGCCTGCTTTTCATCATGGGACCAGCCAGGGTCCCTCCTCTCCTGATTTATATTTAATTTCTTAGCATTGTTTCAATTTAAAAAAATAGCAAAAAGACCGATGTGCGGAAGAGCGAAGGGTCCCCCGCTCGAAGTATTTTTAAACCCACTTCTCTGCCAAAAATGGTTCCTAGAGCAGCTTAAATGCAGTTGGAACACAAGGCATTTGTGCATTGCATCCACCCCTAGGCTCCAGCGCCCATCATCCGCAGCAGGACTCACCGGCCCGCCCCCTAGCGGACAGCGCCCCCACCCGTGCGCTCCCCCTCCCGCCCGCAACCCGGGGCGCAATCCTAGCGTGCGCCTGGCGGAGGGGACGCGCAGGGAAAGCGGGCTCGGGGGAGCAGCCTCCGCGCACGCCCCTGCCCCACGGCCCCCGCGGGGTCGCACTCCCCCCCACGACCCCCGCGGGGTCGCGCTTCCCCCCCCCCCCCCCCCCGGGAAGGCCGGTGCGCACCTCCGGGCGCGTCTGCAGGGCGAATGGCCGGCGCGAAGTAGCGGCGCACCGCGGCCGCGCCGTCGTGGTGCACCGCGCAGGGGAGCAGGTGGGGCCGCTCGCGGGGCGCCCCCGGCGGGGAGGGCAGCACCAGCCTCACCGCGCCCCGGTCCTCGCCGGCCATGGGGAGCCCGTGCGCCCGCCGCCCCGCTCCGCGCCCGCGCCTCGCCGCGTTGTCTCCGCCCCGGCCAGGCATCCACTCCCGGGTCGCGCCGGGTGCAGCTCCGCCTCCTCCGCCTCTGCCCCCGCCTCCGCCCGCCTTGCGCCGCCCGCTTTCGCTCTTGCTCCGACGGTGCCTCGGAGGCGCCTTGCGTTTCGCACCCCCCCAAAAAAGCCGCCCCTCCCGCGCTCGGCCGGAGCGCTCCCCAAAAACCGGCGTTGCAGCTCCCTGCGCGCACGCTTTTCGTGAGAGGAAGGCCCCCTCTCCAGCTGTTCGTGGGCCAACACGGGAAAACATGCGGCTCAGAAGCGGCAGGGCAGCAGCTCACCTTGCCCATGCCCAGAGGCACGCTGGTCTGCATTTGTTTTCAAAGCAGAGAGGAGTAAACCAACCACCCCCTCAATTCACTGCTGGCTAATCCTGTTATTAGGAAAACGGGCCACTTGCTTGGGCTTTTTGAAAGTGGACTTGCGAGTCTTGCCTGTGACTAGGCATGTTGGATCGCATCCCGCGGTCGGAGGCGCCCTGATGCCGGCTGGCCCGACCCCCAAAACAAGCGACCTGCCTGGGATTCTTGAAGGGGGGCACATGCCTCCAACTTCTCTTGAACCATCTTTGTCTGCCAGTTTGCGGCAAGTAAGAGTGTGGAACCGAGACTGGAGATGCACTTTGAGTGCCCACTTGGCTGTGAGGCCGACTGGGTGAAGGCAGCTTAGTCACAGACATTGCCTAACACGAGGTTGTTGTGAGGATAAATGGATAGAGGGGTGTTGTAAACTGCTTTGAGCTCCTTGCAGGAAAAAGGCCGCAATTGACAGTAGATTGCCAGGTGGTGTGAGGCCTCACTCGGCCATAAAGCTCTTTGGATGCCTTCGGCCCAGTCGCTGACTCGTGCCCTAACCTACCTTACAGGGTGGTTGTGATAATAAAACAGAGGATTATTAGGCCAGGCACCTTGGGCTGTGTGGGAGGATTAAGAGTGGGATATAAATATTAATATAGCATCAAGACGAAGTGCCCTTTGAAAGGCGTTTACACTGGTGGCTGTATCTGCATCTCGGGCTAGCAAATTCCATAGTTATCCATGTGCCGACCGAGGAAGTCCTTTCTTAGAGCTTCAGGATGACCTTCCTGCGTATTCGTCTTATACCCTTTTCCCACAGCGTCCATCTTCAGTTTTCCCCCTTCCTACACACAAATCGCGATCTTTTCCACAACGCTGGACTGAAGACCCCTTCCCCAAACCTCTCCTTCCACTACCTGACTCGCTTCTCAAGAAATCCTGCTCTGCATCATTAGGGTTTATTTCACTGTGATGAAGGAACTGACAGAGAGTAAAGCGTGAGCCACGGCGGGCCCAGCGGCCTCCTCGCTTCCTCTTTCCACCTTCACCTCGGCTTCACCAGGCTCTGCAAGTAGCAGTTGAGGGAAGGCAACAGCTTCCAGTTGTCCGTACGGATGGACACCCGGGCCGCGTCCTCCACGCTCTGCACCCTGAGCAGAATGTGGTACCGGGGAGGCAGGGCCACCCCGATCTTGTAGGAGTTGGCCTGCTCGGCCACAATGTACCTGGCGAAGTGATCGCGCACCAGGGCCCCCAGTGCCGGCAGCGGCACCGGCCAGATGGCCAAGCTCTCGGCACACGTTTCACGGCTGTCTGGGCAGAGGCGGTCCCAGAGTGCCTCGAACAGGCAGCAGTGCTTCTCCGGGGGCCAGGCAGGCACTGCGAGGGGCATGAAGAGGTCAGGGAAGGCAACCTCCACGGGCTCCAGCTGGCTGTAGTGGGTGAGTCCCTCCTGGGTGGTGTACAGGGCGGAAACGTCCACCCGTGTCGGGTACGGGCAGCAGGGCTCCAGCGTCAGCGTCAGCGCCTGTGGGGGGTGGTGTGCCGAGAGGCAGGGCACGCACACCTCCGGCACGGGCTCGTAGTGCCGGTCGGAGCACGTGAAGCGGAGCACCACGCACAGCAGGAGGGCGTGGGGGTGCGTGGGGGGGCCGGTGTGGACCAGCTGGTACCTCAGGCTGAGCCGCGAGGGGGAGCGGGTCTCCAAGAGCCAGTGGCAGTGGTCCTCGACCTCCTGGGAGGGGGGGCAGGCGGCCGGCTCGCTGCCACCGGCCTCCACCCGCTGCAGCCTCAGGGGCGCGCGCTCGGCCGGGTGCACCGTCAGCGCGGCGACGAAGCTCTCGCTGTCGGCCACGATCGACGCGGAGAGCGTCCGAGCCTTAACGGGGCCCTCCGCAGCCAGGATGGCGCTCAGCTTCTCGTCGGACAGGCTGGCCAGCAGGGTGTAGTAGAAGCGAGCCCGGTCCTGGACGTCCACGTCCGCGTGGCTGAGGGAGACTGCCTGCAGGAGGTCGGCCAGCCGGGCCGGGGCAGGCAGCGGGCGCAGCTGCATGAGGTTGCGGCACACACTGAGCAGGAGCTGCCCCGAGCGCCAGTCCCCAAGCCGACCGGAGGCGACCAGGTGGCTCAGGAAGCCCAGGGTGCCTCCTTGCGGGAGGTCCTTCTCCTTCGCCAGCCGGGCCAGGAGCTTCAGGTGCCAAGGGAGGTGCTCCTCGCGCAAGGGGACGCTCGCCACGAGCTTCTGCAAGGAGCGGGCGAGCGAGCAGGCCCAGCCAGCCTCTTCCAGGGTGCCCCGCACCTCGTCCAGCAGGTTGATCACGTACGGGGCCAGGACACAGTTCCGGCGATAGAGGTCCAGCAAGCACTGGCTCAGTTCCTCCATGGGCTGCGCCCGGGAGCCGAAGTACCGGGCGAAAAGGTAGAGCGCCTGGAAGAAAAGCCGGGTGGCCTCCGGCCCCCCTCCCCTGGCCACGAGCCCCCCGAGGGCCAGCACGTGCTCCAGGAGGTAGCTCGCCCCCTGCTCGGCCGCAGGGCCCTCGCTCTCCACACACACCAGGCACATCAGGTTCAGCCGGGCCAAGACGGTGCCCTGGTCCTGGAAGAGGCCCGGGAACAGCCCCGACGCGGTGCGTGGCGTGAGCAGGACCGGCAGCCCCTCGTCGGCCCCCGAGCCCAGCGGCCGGTTCTCGGGGAAGTGCAGGAGGCAGTCCAGGTGGAAGAGGCTGACTGGGGCGGGCAGCGCTGGGTGCTGGGCCAGCCCCACCAGGCGGCGCAGCAGGAACGCCTCGTCCTCGGCGGTGAACAGGCTGTCGGTGAAGAGGGCCTTGAGCTGCAGGATGCTGTGCTGCAGGCAGGCGTCGGCCGCGCCGAAGAGGCGCACCAGCTGGGCCTTGAAGATGGCGGGCGACTGGGTGCGCACCACGCCGACCACCTGGGCCAGCTGCCCCAGCACGTGGCTCTGGGCGGCCGGCGAGAGCAGGTAGGAGCTCTCCAGCAGGGCCGAAACCACCGCCTTCAGCTCCTTGAGGTCGCCGGGCGAGGGCAGCAGGGCCAGCTGGTCGACGGCTGCGGCCGAGACGCCGGCCCACTCCCGGGTGGCCTCCCACTTCAGCCCGCCGCTGCCCGCCAGGACCTGCCCGAGGCTGCCCTGGCCGCCCCGGGCCAGCAGCAGGACGGCGTGGCGGAGGGCCAGGCTGTACAGCAGCGTGTAGCCCTGGTGGGCGGGCGAGAGCTCCTGCCGCTGCAGCGAGCGCAGCACCTCCAGGCGCTGAGAGAGCAGGCCGGGGTAGCAGCTCTCCAGCTCCCGCAGGCACTCGCAGGCGGCCGCCCGGACGGGCCGCTCCGCGGGGCCCCCTTGGCGGTCGTTGAGGTCGGAAGCCAGGAGCAGCAGCTGGGAGAGGTACTCGCCGGCGGCCTGGCAGTCCTCACCGAAGGCGTCCGTGGCCACCAGCACCGTCCCCGCGGCGAAGAGGAGATGGCAGCGCAAGGGGGCGTGCCTGGGGAGGGGACCCAGGTGGGCGAAGAGGGACAGGAAGGCCGACGCAGCTTCTTGCCCGGCCTTGGCATCTGGGCACAGCTGGGTGGGGTATTCCAGGAACAGTGACAGCACGGAGACCTGCGAAGAAGCGAGCGAGGCCTTGTCAGGGAGGAGCCGCCGGAAGTGGGCAGGCGACGCCCCGGAGACCTTATGGGGCCCCCCTCTTCTGCCCGTGCGTGGCTGGCCAGACACTCCAACCGGGCACGGCTGTCCTCTCGACGGTGCCGCATCTGCTCGTGAATGGATCTGCAGCGACCCCCCCAAGAATCTCTTCTCCCCCCAGCACCCTCCTCGCTTTGTACGCCGCCCGATGCCGAGACTGGCAACCTTTCGAAGCCCGCTTTGAACCAATGGGCCTTCGGTCTGATCCGGCAGGGCCTTTCTTACATTCTTACGCTTTGGGAAAGCTTTGGCACCAAAAGCAGGCATTTCTTGAACAAATAAACAAACAGGGGAAGCCGTGGGGGTGCAGAATTTTCTATGGAGTTCTGCATAAACAAAATGCAATCCCGGGCACGTTTAGCGGGGGGAAAGTCATACAACTGCTACAAAAGCCCCGGCTGGCTGGGAATCCCTTGAATCCCATGATTCCCGGAGCGTTTTCGCTTCCTGACCAGGTGAAGGATTGTGCCCCGAGGCAATTTAGCTTCCGTAGAGGGCCTACTGACCCATATCGTGCTCCAGGAGGAGGCTTCTACGGAAACCGCTCTGCAAGTCTCCTCTGAGAACGACTTCAGTGGATTAAGAACAAGCTCCCAGCACCCCATCTCTCCCGGAGGGCCAACAGTCTGAAGAAGGCCAGCTGGCGCTTTGTTCCGGGCCCACCCCTCTCCAGCCCCTGCGGACCATCCCAGGCTCTTGTTCCGGATGGACCGGAGGGCCCTACCTTGATCTGCTCTCCCAGCTTCTCGCTGCGTAGTTCCTGCAGCAGCTCAGCTGCAAAGACGTCCCCGGCTCCGTGGGATAAGAGGAAAGCCCTGGGACACGCACGGAAGGAGGCGAGGGTGCCGGCCCAGCTCTCTCTGCTCCTCGACCCCATGGTGACCGCTGGGAAACAGACAGAAGAGGGAAAACGTGTGCCGGTGTGGTGCAGCGGTTAAGGCTGGGACTCAGGCGGCCTGGGTCTTGGTCCCCACTCAACCATGGGGCCAACTGGGTGACTCTGGGCCAGTCACACTCTCGGCCCAGCCTAGCCTACCTTACAGGGCTGTTGTTGAGAGGGTAAGACTGAGAGGAGGAGAATTATGTAAGCTGCCTAGAATTCTTTCAAAAGGAAGAAAGGGGGATATCGATATAATAAATAAAAATGCTGTTTCTGAGTTTCCACCTTCCCACTTCTGTAGCAATCCTTGCTCTGGTGGTTTGAAGTTATTTTCATCTTGGCCTACTTCATTCACCCCATAGTCATGAGGCCCAGAGAGGCCCAAAACAGGTAACACCTGTTGCCAAAGATCTCCCGACCTGAATTTAATTTGGACACTACAGTCCTCATGCTCTAAATGGATTTTGCTGCCTTTCTTTTTCTTTCCCAGAGTCCTCAAAATGTATGGCAACATTTCGAAATTACAGTAGCCCAAATATTTCTAAAATATGGCAGCTCAAAATAGGTTCAACTTGACCTTCAAAACATCAGGCAGAAATATTTTAAAAACATTTAGATTACTAAAGGAGCAAGCCTACGCTTGTTTGAAGACAATGGAAAGGCTGCCAGGCCCTTTTCTCTGTCTAAACACACACAAGATTGTCTCCTAAAATATTATTTTAAAACTTAGTAATTTTTTTTTAGAAAGAAACATATATTGAAAACAAAGCAAAGCAAAACGAAACTGGGATTATTCTTTGTAGCTGCATTCCACATGGGATGATCCACTCAGATATTGTCTATTTGTGTATCTCCATTAGACCATCACAAAACAAACATTTAAGTCTAAACATTTAGCATTTCAGATACTAGCTATCAATAAGCTTTAGCATAACATTAGTGCAAGCCCAGATCACGTGGGATAAACTTAAAATTTTGGCCGTCCCCAAGGGTCCCACGACTACCTAACATGGAGCAATGATACCCCCTTGAAGTTGTGCTCCTTGTGCGATTTCGGGTTCTCCGGTGTGCAGAGGGGCTGGGGTCTCCCTCCGAGGAAGGAACCCACCCACCAGGCAGTCCTCTGCTTCTGGGGGCACACGAAATCCCAGGTGTTTCGTACCTGGGGCGCCCACACACGCGAGCCACTCCTACGGAGGCGCTGGCGGCGAGCGTGTGGGGCCCTGCAGCCTAGAGGCACCCACCCTCTAAATATTTAGGTACTCCCTACGTGTGGGGGACTACAGTTCCCACAATCCTCGCCCCTGGCTCGTGCGTGCTCGGGGGGGGGGGTGCTGGCGGCGCCGAACACCTGGGAGGCGCAGACTGGGGCGGCGGGGGGTCCTCCGGGGCGGGATCGGGGCTTGTGCAAGCGCGGCGAGGGCGCACACGGGGCGTCTGGGGGGGGGCGCTCTGGGGCGGCGGAGAAGGCGAAGGAGCCACGCACCCCCCCCCCCCGCGTGCAGCCTCGCCCCACAAGTGCCGGGCCTCCCTCTCTCCCGCGGCGGAGCACGTACCTCGGCGCCCGCCCCTCCCCGGCGGCGGCGGCGGCTGCGGCCCGGGCGCGGCGGCGCTTCCGACTTCCCTTCGCGGCGATGCCGCCGGCCGCCGCCAGGGGGCGAGCGAGCGGCGCTGCCGCGGTGCACCTGGGCGCAGGTAGCGGCGGCGGCTTCGGGGGGCGCGTGGGCGGCGAAAGCCCCCCCCCCAAAAAAAAGAGAGATCCCGGGGCGCAGGACTGCCCGGAGCCATGGCCCCGGAGGCTCTCCTCTTTAATCGATCCCCGCCCGTGCAGGAACTCAAGATTGCAACTTCGACCGTGCTCCGGGGTTGCGATTAAATTACCTCTCAAGACGAACATTTCGGGCGCCGGTGTATGCTTGGGCGAATATACAGCAAAGGGATGTCTGCCCTTTGCACATGCTCCAAGGCCAGCGTAGAAGTGTGATTACTTATGTGTATTCGTGCTGTAAAGTATTAAGCAAAAGAGAAAGTTAATAAAACCACGAAGTACTAAAGATGAAATAAATGAGAAGGGTGCTTATGAATATTTAGGGCCCCTATGTGTGCCTAGAAAAAGGCTCAGGAAAAGGACACGCGCACTTTGCACATGCTCCGAGACAGGCACTTAAGTATTACTGAATACAGATATTTAGCGTACCTATACGTGTTTAGACCAAACACCCACACCGAGTTCTGGCATAGCCCAGCCAAGATGGCCAGTTGTGGCAGGCTGGGAGTTGTAGGCCTTTTTCCTGTCTAAACTTGCATAAGATTGCATCCTTAATTAATATTCTTCTTGGCGCTTAATATAATCCACTTTAGCACTATTATAATTATAATTATATCTCACCCTTTTTTCTGTCAAGGAAACTCAAGGCGGCTTCCATAATTCTCCTCTCAGTCTTACCCTTTTAAAATTTGATCCAGATTTAATTATTTCTTGTTTTCATTGCACAAAAAGCTGTTTGGCTTCCAGTAACGTACGCATTTTCTTCTTTTGATCATGTTTATTTGTATTGCAATGAGTGCTCGTTGAGTGGTGGAGTGACCCAAAATGATTTCAAATCAATTTAAAAAATTGCAATCTACATCAATTAAAAGCAAAATAAAAGTGACCAATGTCACTTCACTGGTCTTTCAAAGGAGAGGAGGGAAAGCATGTCCAGACTTCCTGGGAGGACGTGTTTTGGAATAGCGGGGCCTTCTCGAAAAAGGCCCCGCAAATTAGATGATTACTTCTCTGGAGGCAATCTCTGTGGCTCAGATGATACAGGACAACAGAAAGGAAGCTGTGGCCCTGCTAATGGGATTCAGCTTCCATTAGCCCCAGCCAGCAGGGCTAATGGTCAGGGATGATTGGATAGGTAGTCCAGCCAGCAACGTCTGGAGTGGTGCAGGTTTTCCTGCCCATGCTGCAGGGCCTTACAAGGTAAAACACCTTGAACTAGAACACAGGAAACAAACCTTGTCATTTTCCCCAAGCAAGAATGCAGTCTCTGCCCCGAGGGGCTTCCAGTCAACATTTTTCCACCACAGGGGTGAAATAAGAGCAGGGAGGAAGGGAGGGCCAAGGGTGTTGGCTTTGGGGCTGCGGGAAAATGCACTGAAGGGCCCCCCTCAAAGAATCCAGGGAACGTGCCTCTGAACCCGTGCCGAATGCCTGGTCTTGGGCCCAGGCCATGCCAGAAGCCTTAAGCAACCTGTCTGGAAGAAGCGCTTTCCCTGGTACCTGCTCATGCTCCTCTTGTGGGGGCGGGGGGGCAAGGTAAACGGTTTCGTGAACTGTTACTCAGGTCTTAGCCAACGAAACTTGGGCAAGTCTGCTCTCGCACCCTGGCCCGGGCGTAGCTGGGATTCGGCTCCTCCGTTAGGTGTGCAGATCTTATCTGGGGACCCAAGCCAGTCTCCCCAGAGTAGCTTTCGGGTCAGAACTGGGGAACGCGTGGCCTCTTTCCATACAAAACCGGTTTCCACGCCAACCTGCCAGGAAAAGGTGCATGTGGTTAAAAGCCAGTCTCGCTTGCGACATTTGGTAGGTTACTTGTGTGGGACGGGGGAACGAGAAGAAAAGGGGGAACAGATCTAGGCTGGTTCCCCCACCCTAGCAGTGATCTTGTTATGTTAATGCATTGGTTTAAGTATTCATTAATTGTTTTAATTATGACGTTTCCATCCTGCCTTTTTCCCTTTTGCAAGACTTGGCCTTCTTCATTTTATTCTCAGGCCAACCCTGCGAGGTAGGCCAGGCCAGGAGTCAGCAGCCGCCCAAGGCCTCCCAGTGGGCTGCGTGGCTGGGCGAGCACCAGCACCCGGGCCTCTCGACTTCGGGTCCAAGCCCAACAGCACACCAGCTCCCTTAAAGAAAAATGCCTCCGCAGAAACCCTTTCTCGCTGCTGCAGCTCCTTTTCAGCAAGAGAGCCTCTGACCGTGTGCAGAGTTTCAGTCATTTGGGGTGGAGAATCTCCTGGGCTTAGTGTGGCCACTAAGTCACGGATTAAATCTACTCCCATTCCTGCCCCCCCCCCCCACTTCAGAAATGCCACTTAGCTCAGCCGTCTGTGACTGAAGTGGGGCTTGGCGCATGCTCAGAGGGCGGAGAATGGTTCTCAGAAGCAAGCTTTCCCCGGTATACATCTGTGGGCTGAACAGCAGAGGGGATCCGGCCGGGAAAGACCCGCTGAGCATCTGAACGCTTTGGGGCCCGCCCCACGCCCCCTCACTTCGGCTTCCACGCAGCTGCTCCTGGCGGCTGGTGCCCTGGCCTGTTCCTAAAAGTCGCCCCTCCCTGCCTTTGGGATTCAGCCGCAGGCAAGGGCAAGAACACATTTCGAGGCCTGGGCATCAAAACAACCCCATCTGGGGATCAGCTGGGATGGAAGGCAGGGGCCGCCCGGGCGGGGGGCGAGCGGAGATGCCTGCGGAGGAGCCTCTGGCGGCGGCATCAAACATGCAGGGAAAGGCCTGAGCGCCGCTCCCTGGCACATACGCACAGCCTCTGGCCACGCTCCAAAACGCGCCTCTGTGTGGGCTCAGGACGGCGCCCAGCCGATCCCGGGGCAGAGTCTTCCTTTGGCTGAAAACATGGCGGGGGTGAACCGCGTGCCTTCACGGGACCCCCGAAAGCGCGCCAGCCCTTTGAGTCAAAAACCATCCCCAGGGACACTCACTGCTCTCGGGTTTTCTCTGTTCTTTTTAAGGATCGGTGTCCAAGGCACTGGTTTTGACTTTTGAAGCATGAAATGGTTTGGGATTGTGCTCTCTGTAGGTCTCTCTGCCCCTAAGCTCGGTTCGTTGGTCCACGAGCTGGAGCCATTCAGGTGTTAGATTGGAGGGAGGGCTTTCCTGGTGTTGGCACCACAGCTGGAGAACTCACCCCCTAGCCCCCCAGGCAGATATGGACAGCTCGGTCACTGCTGGCGTTGTGGGCAGGGGATGGACGGACCCTAAGTGCACCTGCCAGCCTGCGTTTGGGTCTTAAAAATCAT